GAGAGAGAGAGAGAGAGAGAGAGAGAGAGAGAGAGAGAGAGAGAGAGAGAGAGAGAGATCAGACCATAAAAACAGTCGGAGACAGAAGAATTGAGGGGCATTACTTTAACAAAAAGGAAAGTGCTTTCTGCACTATCGAAATTCAAATTAAGTTCATTGAATGACGGGATTACCCGTCTCGTACCACGTCAGAGTAAACACACACAAAGTCGGCCGACTCATGCACTCAACCGGCGTAATACAACACTACAAAGACCACCAATGACAGCAAGCGATGAGGACACCTTGCCAACAAAGCCGACTACAACGGGAAGCCTCCAACTATCCACCGACTACTAAATTCCAGGGAGCAAGTGCTACACAACACAATGTCAACGAAGTCTATCGCTCGCGAATAGCCTTTGCTATTTCCATCAACGCTTGGCACATGACTTTGGTGACTTCATCGGACGCGGCGCGGCGTAGTGAGTCTTCTGCACCTGCACTTCAGCTTCTAATGCCTCACATTGTCGTAGCTGAATGCTGCATTGCCGCTTGTTGGCACTCTCCATCGTGGCCGCCATCAACGCACCGTGCTTGTCCATGCACTCCGTCATTGCTTCGAACGTCTGCTGCCGTGTGCTCTTCCTCTTTCCGAAACCATGGGGGCTGCCTGAAGTCTGGGAGGAACCACGAGTCGATCCCTCGTCCTCATCTTCCCCCCCCCGAACAGGCGTCGGCATCACCAACTGCTTCAGGATCAGCAGTTGTCGTCGATAGCAAACGCACTCCGCCTCGGGCACCAGTGCCGGGAACGTTTTTGGGGTTGATGGTTTCGTTGAAACCGATGGACCCTTCAATCTCGTCGTAAACGGCGCGGTCCATGTTGAAATTGAAGCCGTGTCTCGCCCTCTCCTTGTCGTTTAACTGGAAGAAGTCAATTCCCCCGGACGGCGATTGAAAATGATGAACTTTCTTGAATCGCTGCATGAGGTTGTCCCACTTCTTCCCGCATTTCTCCGGCTTCCTGTTCTTCAATCTTTTGGCGACGTCATTCCATTTCCACTCGCTCGGCTTCATCTGGGCATAGGCATGCCCCATCCCTGCAAGTGCGCATCCTGATCGTGTTTCGCCCATATGAGCGCGATGATATGTTCGACACTCCAAAAGTTTCGCTTCTCCTCTGCGTCGCCGTTGCCTTCTCCGTCGTTCGCCTTTGCTTGCGCTTTCTTCGGCCGCCCACGATCGTTCCCGCTCGTCGCCTTCGTCTTGCCGCCCTTCCCCCCCCGTCGCTGTTCTGCGATGGCGAGGCATAACCGCCGTTCCCGTCTCCCGCCTCTCTGGCGCTGTCGTCGTCGTCTTCGGACGGAAGCCCCACATGTGGCTCCTCAACTTTTTCCGCCTGCCTGTCCATCCTCAGCCGCTCCACCCCCCTCCTGATTGCTTCCTCTCGCCCCTCCCTGATCTTCCGTCGCTCCTCCGCCCACACTAACCTCCCGTCGCGGTCGTCAACGATGTTGTCCAAGTACACCCCCCCCTCCTCGACAATGCCATGTCGATGTCCCAGGTTGGACGCAGCAGACACCGGAGCCAGGGACTGCAAAAACGACGAACGACCTTGCCTGCTCCTGGAGATTGAAGTCGCTCGTCCCTGCCACTTCTGCGCGCATGCGGATTTCAATGATCGGTCCACAGCGGTTAACTGCCCGCCGTCGTCGCCGACATGGGGATTGACGATCACTGTGCGCGACTGGCTTCCACACCTCCCTGTAGACAGACCGGAAGACAGGTTCGATCCGCCATGCCCTTCTTCCCCGTCGAGACCAGGCACCAGCAGTTCAGTGAAGGACTGGCCGTGCACGCCGCCACTGCCGCCGCACAGCTCCGTCCAAGACCATTCCTGCGTAGAACCACTACCCAACGGAACAGTGTGTGCCCGTCCCTCCCTCTCCTCCTCATCAGATGAGTCAGGGAGGGGTTGCAAATGCCGCGGCAGTGATGAATTACCAACCCCCAACGACAACCTGCAAGCCGGAGAAGAACTCCCAATGGCACGCCTGCTCACAACCTGCTCCCCTCCTCCCCTGGGGGAGCCCTGTCCACTATTCGTCCTGACGGCCTTCATCGGCGAAGTTCGTCTGCGTCGACGCCGCGGCACGTTCCCGACAAAACACACGTGCAACAGTACGACGACGACCAGTAGGAAGACGGCGAGAAGCAGCAGCGGGAGCTTGCGAAAGATGTCAGCCATGCGACGGATGATGGCAACGGCACTAGACGGAAGGGAACACGTCCGACAACGTAACTGCGACGTCCTGCACACGGCGACACGCGCTTGGCGACAAACGGAAGCCGTCGTCTTGTGGACGCGCTGTGCCGCCTCAAGTATTCACATTTGCCGACCGTTGGCCGGTTTCCCGCCACGGCTGAAGCCCAACCCCAAGTTGCAACGCGGTGTGCACCTTGGGGATGCTACCGGCCCGCTAACGGTTACCGTTGGCGTGGACATCGGGCCTCTTGAACGTTGGCGACCCAACATGTCCGTGCGCAAGTCGCCCGGACCACCGATGGACCAGACGCCGCCGACAAAAGAAGTCGACTGAGGTGCCGTCGAAGAGCGGGTTCTTCCTGATGGGGGAGCTCCGAGGATCCTACCAGAGGTTCCTTGGGGAAAATTGAAAATTGCCTGTGCCCCGAGGAATCCCCGAGGAATCCCCGAGGAAATGTTTTCACTTTTTTTTTTTTTTTCTTTCCCCGAGGACAAGTGGAACAACGATTTCCTTGGGGGATTTCGGCGCCCGAGGAGTGTCGAACGAGCCCCTTAACCACCAGTACTTCCTAAAGTTGTGCCGGTTAACAAGCCACAATTCTATGAAGAAAGAAAAAAGAAAGAGCCTGAATCTGAGCCTGAATCTGGCTGTGTTTCATGCCAGAGAAGCAGAGAAGGAAAAAAAAAAAAAAAAACAATGTCATACAACATTCAGCAAAAAAAAAGTAAAAAAAAGAAAGGAAATCAGACATGCCCAACGAGATTGAATCTTCCTCGATAAAGAGGAAGGTTCATTCTCGTGAGAGGTTCACTCAGAGAGAGAGAGAGAGAGAGAGAGAGAGAGAGAGAGAGAGAGAGAGAGAGAGAGAGAAGGCATCAGGGAGTTTCTGACGCCGAGTTTGGTCCACCAAACTCGGTGTCAGAAACTCTCTGATGCTCTCCCCCTCTCTCTCTCTCTCAACGTTCAAATGCGAATGAATCTTCCGCAATAACGCGGAAGATTCATTCGCATTTGAACGTTGACTCTCTCTCTCTCTCTCTCTCTCTCTCTCTCTCTCTCTCTCTCTCTCT